TGCTGTTGGTCCTCTCCCTCTGTTTTACAATTTTACAATTAAAATTTTTACACTTTAATTTTTCCAATTAAAAATTTTGCAGCTTTACAATTAAACTCCCTTCCCCAGTTCTTGCCTGGATACAAGAAGTGTTGCTTACGTTGACCTGGTTCTATCAATGGAGCCCCATGACTCATTTTTGAAATTCCAGGAATTCACTATTAGTTCATTCTACCACCCTCTCTGAATAATCTGGATTCAGCTCAGGTCTTTTTATGGGGCCCTTACTTTTATGCATGTGCCCAGTGACACAACCCCCAGAAGACAGGCAAATGGTGTGTGGAAGTGCGCATGCGCACACATACACACACACACACACACACACACACACACACACACTCTGCGAACAATCCATTCCCTCCTGCGGCCTAAAGGCTACACCATTTCCCGAGGAATCCCCGACAGGCTTTTCCACTGACCTGTCCTGTAGATGGAATTGTTTTACAGAATCCATCCAACCCCCAAAGCACCGTATGCAATCCATGTGCTTATTTCACTTGTTAAATCTTTCTATGCTGGTGTCTCTTAGATCATTAACTCTGGAAACTATGCTTTCAAGTCCTTTGGAATCAGTGTATCAATGCAAGTTGGTCTATCGTGGATGCTTGGTGAATGCTTACATAGGTGAATCTTAGCTGCTCAGAGCCTCCAGCTAGAAAATCTTTAAAAGGCTGGCACAGTCTCAGGCATGTAAAGGAAGAGTGAGCTTTCCATAATTACAAGCTAAGCTTCACACCAGCTCAACAGTCTTCAAGTGTAGAGAGTGCTGTCTGAGTCTGTTGTATTATACAAATTTTTATACAAATTTACAGACTGTGTGTAGCATTTCATAAGTCATTGTTCTTAACTCTGTGTGCATAACCATTCAATATCTCAGTCAACATACATAAAAGTAAAACTGATAAGTTACCAGGATTGTGGTCTCCTCCCTTCTTCTCAAGAATAAGTACTTCCCATGTTATGCAGAGCAGAATTTTAATGCAATATATTAATACCCTTCTTTATATGCATTTAGTAACTTGCTGTTTGAAAGCATTGGAATTTCTCTTTTAAATGAAATACCTCTGGTAATACACTGAGACCTGGAGTTATTACTTTCATTTCCTTTCCCCCTCTCTTCTTGTGTTATATCTGAATTCCTTAATTCTTTCTCCTGTTATATAGCAAGTTTTAAATTTCTACCTGTAATAGAGTGTGTTAACTATTCCTAATGATATGTGCCATCCTGAGATTGGTCAGCTAATTCGGTAATCTTCATAGGATGCACAATTTTTTAGTCTCCTTTTCTCATTTTCACCTTTTAAATACTTTTTGATGGTTGTCTGCCCTGCACTGACGTCTTGCCTCTAAAGTGAGATAGAATTCATTGTCATATTTGCTGAAGGGGAAACGTTTGTTCTTATCATGAATATGTTAGAGTTTTAGGGGTTAGAATTGTAGATAACTTTAAAACAGGGTATTATTTTTAAATGCAATGACAAGCTGAGTTGGTATGCTTGCAAAGATCAAGAATCAGGTTTCTTTTTGTAGCTTATGACAATTTTATGTTCCGTACGTTTTTCTTAGGACTCCATCTTTTTTTTTAATCTAAGTGTACCAATTCACATTGGTTTGATTTCTGGTTTGGGAAGATGGTAGGAGAAGGAAATGGTAACTCCACTCCAGTATTCCTGCCTGGAAAATTCCATGGACAGGGAAGACTGGTGTGCTATAGCCCATAGGGTCCCAAAGAGTTGGATATGAATGAGCATGCACATGAACACACACACACAGACACACACACACACACATACTCCGATCCATGTTTTGTTTTTTTAAAAGTAAAGAGTAAACATAAGTTGAACTACTTAATGTTGTTATTTGAGGCCTTCTCTCTGAGAACTAGAACAACAAAAGTGTAAATAACAAAGAATAAAGCAAATACATTTTATCCAGTAAGAAGCCATAAACAGATAAATTTGATCTTCAGTTGAGCCCCTGGTGACTTAGATGGTTAAGAGTCTGCCTGCAGTGTGGGAGACTTGGTTCGAACACCATGTCGGGAAGATCCCCTGGAGAAGGAAATGGCAGCCCACTCCAGTATTCTTGCCTGGAGAATCCCGTGGACGGAGGAGCCTGGCAGGCTACTGTCCATGGGGTCACAAAGAGTCTGGCACGACTGGGCGACTTCTCTCACTTTCACTTTAAATAGAATAATCTGTGTTCTCCTCTAGGAGTTTTATAGTTTCTGGTCTTACATTTAGATCTTTAATCCATTTTGAGTTTATTTTTGTGTATGGTGTTAGAAAGTGTTCTAGTTTCATTCTTTTACAGGTGGTTGACCAGTTTTCCCAGCACCACTTGTTAAAGAGGTTGTCTTTTTTCCATTGTATATCTTTGCCTCCTTTGTCGAAGATAAGGTGACCATAGGTTCGTGGATTTATCTCTGGGCTTTCTATTCTGTTCCATTGATCTATATTTCTGTCTTTGTGCCAGTACCATACTGTCTTGATGACTGTGGCTTTGTAGTATAGTCTGAAGTCAGGCAGGTTAATTCCTCCAGTTCCATTCTTCTTTCTCAAGGTTACTTTGGCTATTCGAGGTTTTTTGTATTTCCATACAAATTGTGAAATTATTTGTTCTAGTTCTGTGAAAAATACCGTTGGTAGTTTGATAGGGATTGCATTGAATCTATAGATTGCTTTGGGTAGTATAGCCATAGGCAAAACACTCTCTGACATAAATCACAGCAGGATCCTCTATGACCCACATCCCAGAATTTTAGAAACAAAAGCAAAAATAAACAAATGGAACCTAATGAAACTTAAAAGCTTTTGCACAACAAAGGAAACTATAAGCAAGGTGAAAAGACAGCCCTCAGAATGGGAGAAGATAATAGCAAACGAAGCAACAGACAAAGGATTAATCTCAAAAATATACAAGCAACTCCTCCAGCTCAACTCCAGAAAAATAAATGACCCAATCAAAAAATGGGCCAAAGAACTAAACAGACATTTCTCCAAGGAAGACATACAGATGGCACAAAAACACATGAAAAGATGCTCAACATCACTCATTATCAGAGAAATGCAAATCAAAACCACAATGAGGTACCATTACACACCAGTCAGGATGGCTGCTATCCAAAAGTCTACAAGCAATAAATGCTGGAGAGGGTGTGGAGAAAAGGGAACCCTCTTACACTGTTGGTGGGAATGCAAATTAGTGCAGCCACTATGGAAAACAGTGTGGAGATTTCTTAAAAAGCTGGAAATAGAACTGCCAGATGACCCAGCAATCCCACTTCTGGGCATACACACCGAGGAAACCAGATCTGAAAGAGACACGTGCACCCCAATGTTCATCGCAGCACTGTTTATAATAGCCAGGACATGGAAGCAACCTAGATGCCCATCAGCAGACGAATGGATGAGGAAGCTGTGGTACATATACACCATGGAATATTACTCAGCCATTAAAAAGAATTCATTTGAATCAGTTCTAATGAGATGGATGAAACTGGAGCCCATTATACAGAGCAAAGTAAGCCAGAAAGATAAAGACCATTACAGTATACTAACACATATATATGGAATTTAGAAAGATGGCAACGATAACCCTATATGCAAAACAGAAAAAGAGACTCAGATGTATAGAACAGACTTGTGGACTCTGGGAGAAGGCGAGGGTGGGAACGTTTCAAGAGAACAGCATCGAAACATGTATACTATCTAGGGTGAAACAGATCACCAGCCCAGGTTGGGTGCATGAGACAAGTGGTCGGGCCTGGTGCACTGGGAAGACCCAGAGGGATCGGGTGGAGAGGGAGGTGGGAGGGGGGACCGGGATGGGGAATACATGTAAATCCATGGCTAATTCATTTCCATGTATGACAAAAACCACTGCAATGATGTAAAGTAATTAGCCTCCAACTAATAAAAATAAATGGAAAATAAATAAATAAATAAGTAGAATAATCTGGAAAGGGCAGAGAAGAGATGTCTGCTTAAGGATTTATAGACACAGGTAAGGGTGGGCACCAGGCTGGCATTTGGAACCCGGAACTTGGTCTCCAAGGGGAAGAAGCAGATCTGGGAGCAGGAAGGGTCAGCCGTCCACAAGAGTCAGCTGGACCTGAAGTGGCGCCTCCTGCCCCCTATGTGCCTCTGTCCAAGTCCAAGGAGGTGTTGAAGGCAGAGAGGGTGAGAGGACTGCTGTGAGGACAAACAGCCCTGACACTCGTCACAGGCAGGCTTCACTGAGTACTTTTGCAAGAATGGCTTCAGTGAGACTGAGCCCGACCCCATACACAGCAAGCACGGTGGCAGATTTATACTCAAGGACCAGGGAGAAGGGCCAAGGGATGGAAAAATATTTAGAGGGGACATCAAGGATAGGGCTTCTGCTCAGCTGTAGCAGGATTCTTGCCAAAGGCAGGCCAGGACCTAGACATCAAGCTTGAGGCTTGGAGGAACCTGATGAGACATCAAAGGTGGGAGATTCTTGCTCAACTGTTTCGGTGGGATTCTTGCTAAAACTGAGCATGTGAAGGCTGAGGTCAGGTCCCAGGGATGAAGCTTCCTTGAAAAAAGGCTCAGAGGAGCCTGTCTAAAGTTGGGTCAAGGAGAGCCCTTGTCTATGGTGAGCAGCTGAACAGGGAGAGGGGAGAGGCTGAGCATGGGCGTGGTCTCCTGCATCCTGCCTCCCCAGCAGGTGTCTTCTCCGCCTTGGCCTTGCTCTACCCCCTCCTCCAAACCCCACCTCCTGTTTCGGCCCCACAGAGAAGCACATTCCCATCAGGGGAGTGGGCCTTTGAGGTCCAGTTCTTTGGAGCAGACCCCTTTGGGCTTCAAGCAGGGGTTCCTGGCCCCCAAAGAGGTGCAGCTGGCAGTGTGGGGCCATGGAGGCTCTACCTGAGAGGCCTTGGGGTCCACCCTCCTCGTGATGCTGGCGTCTCCTTCCATGACTCTCCCCATTCTCACCTGATCCCCAGGTGAGATGGTGCTAATGCAGTGGTTTCACCCACCTCCTCAGGGAGCTCCATCTCAGAGCTGACGGCTGCCCCTTTTCCTCTGGGAGACAGGGTACTGGGTGTCCCTTTCAGGACCCCCTTCTTTTCTGCACGGGAGGGAGTGTGGGCACTTTGAAGAGGAAAGACAGGGTCGTCTGGCAGACGCAGCACACCCACGGTGGGACGGTGAAAAGCCTGGACTGTGTGTGTGTAGGTGGGGCGGGCGAAGAGTGTCTGGAACCCCCGCTCCAGCTGGATGTTCCCAACTCCCATCACCACACTGCCAGGTGGCTGGTAGCTGCTGTGGCCCATTGAAGAGAGGAGGGAATGGGCTGGGATGGCCTGGGCATTCCCCGCAGTGAAATACACTGAGATGTCGCGGGGTGTGTGTGTGTCTGCCCAGTCACTCAGGTGTTCTCTTTGCGACCCCGTGGAGATAGCTTTCCAGGCTCCTCAGTCCATGGAATTCTCCAGGCAAGAATACTAGAGTGGGTAGCCATTCCCTTCTCTAGGGGGGTCTTCCATATCCAGGGATCGAACTCGCAGCTCCTGCATTGGCAGGCAGATTCTTGACCACGGAGTCACCTGGGAAGCCCTTCTTGCTTTTCCTCTTAGAGAGCTAAGCGTTGAAGGGATGCAGGGACATGCGTGAGCAAACTTGGGCAAACTCCGGGAGATAATGAGGGACAAGGCAGCCTGGCATGCTGCAGTCCATGTGATCGCAAAGAGTCAGTCGTGATCCAACGAATCAACAACAGCAAGGGCCGTGCTGGGGGGGACTCTGAGAGAGATGGTGCCCTTTAAACTGGAAGTCTTTACCTCTGTAACAGGCAAGCCCAGAAGTTCTTCTGACCATGGCACCCTCCTTGTTCTTCCTGTGGGTGGGCAGCCTTGTGCCCTCCCCAGAGACACACATGTAGCTGAAGAGGGAGTGTGTGATCTCACACAGTGAGGGGTGCTGAGGTGATGGGTGGAATCAAGGCTGCTAATGAGCTGAGCTTAAGAAGGCAGATTCTCCTGTGTTCTCCTGGGCTCTAGGTCACGTGCCCTTCAAAGCAGGAGAGGGAGGCAGCTGAGGATGTCAGTGACGCAACGGGAGGGACTTTGAAGATGGAAGACCGTGAGACTAGGAGCCTGATCTAGCCCTGGCAGCAGGAAAAGGCAAGTTTCCAGAAAGGACAGCTGTCCTGACAAGGGATTTAGCCCAAGGAGACAGCCAGGTCAGGCCTCTGATCTCCAAAATCGTACGATGACTTATTTGTGCTGTTTGAAGGCACTTCATCACTCGGACCACAGCCTTGTCTAACTCAATGAAACTAAGCCATGCTGTATGGGGCCACCCAAGACAGATGGGTCATGGAGGAGAGGTCTCACAGAATGTAGTCTACTGGCGAAGGGAATGGCAAACCATTTCAGTATTCTTGCCTTGAGAACCCCATGAACAGTATGAAAAGGCAAAATGATAGGATACTGAAAGAGGAACTCCCCAGGTCAGTAGGTGCCCAATATACTACTGGAGATCAGTGGAGAAATAACTCCAGAAAGAATGAAGAGATGGAGCCAAAGCAAAAACAATACCCAGTTGGGGATGTGACTGGTAATAGAAGCAAGGTCCGATGCTGTAAGTGCAATATTGCTTAGGAACCTGGAATGTTGAATCAAGGCAAATTAGAAGTGGTCAAACAGGAGATGGCAAGGGTGAATGTTGACATTCTAGGAATCAGCAAACTAAAACGGACTGGAATGGGTGAATTTAACTGATGACCATTATATCTACTACTGTGGTCAGGAATCCCTTAGAAGAAATGGAGTAGTCATCACGGTCAACAAGAGTCCAGAACGCAGTACTTGGATGCAACTTCAAAATTGACAGAATGATCTCTGTTCGTGTCCAAGGCAAACCATTCAGTATCACAGTAATCCAAGCCTATGCCCCAACCAGTAACACTGAAGAATCTGAAGTTGAACGGTTCTATGAAGACCTGCAAGACCGTTTAGAACTAACACCCAAAAAAGATGTCCTTTTCATTATAGGGGACTGGAGTGCAAAAGTAGGAAGTCAAGAAACACCTGGAGTAACAGGCAAATTTGACCTTGGAGTACGGAATGAAGCAGGGCAAAGGGTAATAGAGTTTTGCCAAGAGAACGCACTGGTCATAGCAAACACCCTCTTCGAACAACACAAGAGAAGACTCTACACATGGACATCACCAGATGGTCAATACCGAAATCAGATTGATTATATTCTTTGCAGCCAAAGATGGAGAAGCTCTACACAGTCAGCAAAAACAAGACCGGGAACTGACTGTGGCTCAGATCATGAGCTCCTTATTGCCAAATTCAGACTTAAATTGAAGAAAGTAGGGAAAACCATTAGACCATTCAGGTATGACCTAAATCATAGTGGAAGTGAGAAATAGATTTAAGGGGCTAGATCTGATAGACAGAGTGCCTGATGAACTATGGACGGAGGTTCATGACATTGTACAGGAGATAGGGATCAAGACCATCCCCATGGAAAAGAAATGCAAAAAGGCAAAATGGTTGTCTGAGGAGGCCTTGCAAATAGCTGTGAAATGAAGAGAAGCAAAAAGCAAAGGAGAAAAGGAAAGATATTCCCATTTGAATGCAGAGTTCCAAAGAATAGCCAGGAGAGACAAGAAAGCCTTCCTCAGCAATCAATGCAAAGAAATAGAGGAAAACAACAGAATGGGAAAGACTAGAGATCTCTTCAAGAAAATTATAGATACCAAGGGAACATTTCATGCAAAGATGGGTTTGATAAAGGACAGAAATGGTATAGACCTAACAGAAGCAGCAGATATTAAGAAGAGGTGGCAAGAATACACAGAAGAACTATACAGAAAAGATCTTCATGACCCAGATAATCATGATGGTATGTGATCACTCACCTAGAGCCAGACATCCTGGAATGTGAAGTCAGGTGGGTCTTAGAAGGGATCACTATGAACAAAGCTAGTGGAGGTGATGGGATTCCAGTTGAGCTATTTCAAATCCTGAAAGATGATGCTGTGAAAGTGCTGCACTCAATATGCCAGCAAATTTGGAAAACTCAGCAGTATCCACAGGACTGGAAAAGGTCAGTTTTCATTCCAATCCCTAAGAAAGGCAATGCCAAAGAATGCTCAAACTACTGCACAATTGTATTCATCTCCCACACTACTAAAGTAATGCTCAAAATTCTCCAAGCCAGGCTTCAGCAATACGTGAACCGTGAACTTCCAGATGTTCAAGCTGGTTTTAGAAAAGGCAGAAGAACCAGAGGTCAAATTGCCAACATCCACTGGATCATCAAAAAAGCAAGATAATTCACGAAAAACATCTATTTCTGCTTTATTGACTATGCCAAAGCCTTTGACTGTGTGGATCACAATAAACTGTGGAAAATTCTGAAAGAGATGGAAATACCAGACCACCTGACCCACCTCTTGAGAAACCTATATGCAGGTCAGGAAGCAACAGTTAGAACTGGACATGGACCAACAGACTGGTTCCAAATAGGAAAAGGAGTATGCCAAGGCTGTATATTGTCACCCTGCTTATTTAACTTATATGAAGAGTACATTATGAGAAATGCTGGGCTGGAAAAAGCACAAGCTGGAATCAAGATTGATGGGAGAAATATCAATAACCTCAGATATGCAGATGACACCACCCTTATGGCAGAAAGTGAAAAGGAACTAAAGAGCCTCTTGATGAAAGTGAAAGAGGAGAGTGGAAAAGCTGGCTTAAAACTCAACATTCAGAAAACTAAGATCATGGCATCTGGTCTCATCACCTCATGGGAAATAGATGGGGAAACAGTGGAAGCAATGTTAGACTTTATTTTTGGGGGCTCCAAAATCACTGCAGATGGTGATTGCAGCCATGAAATAAAAAGACGCTTACTCCTTGGAAGGAAAGTTATGACCAACCTAGATAGCATATTAAAAGCAGAGACATTACTTTGCCAACAAAGGTTCATCTAGTCAAGGCTGTGGTTTTTCTAGTGATCATGTATGGATGTGAGAGTTGGACTGTGAAGAAAGCTGAATGCTGAAAAACTGATGCTTTTGAACTGTGGTGTTGGAGAAGACTCTTGAGAGTCCCTTGGACTGCAAGGAGATCCAACCAGTCCATCCTAAAGGAGACCAGTCCTGGGTGTTCATTGGAAGGACTGATGATGAAGCTGAAACTCCAGTACTTTGGCCACCTCATGCGAAGAGTTGACTCATTTGAAAAGACCCTGATGCTGGGGAAGATTGAAGGCGGGAGGAGAAGGGGACGACAGAGGATGAGATGGCTGGATGGCATCACCGACTCGATGGGCATGATTTTGAGTAAACTCCGGGAGTTTGTGATGGACAGGGAGGCCTGGCGTGCTGCGATTCATGGGGTCGCAAAGAGTCGGAGATGACTGAGCGACCAAACTGAACTGAACTGAAGGTACTTCATTTGGAGTAACGTGTTATAGCTGCAATAGAAAACTAATACAGAGCTGAAGTTCTGATCTCCTGTAATTTGAACGTGAGGAGCCCCGCATGGCCGGTGGCCCCGTCTCCCACCCACACAGGGAGAGCTGCGGCAGTCACGATGCAGACGGTCCTGCCTTCTGCGCTCCCGTCTTGGGCTGAAACTGACTCCTGCCAGACCTGGAAATCGGCCTCCTGGCACGACTTGTCGCTTCTCACCTGGCGTTTCTGTAAGCGGCTCCCACCCCTCCGGCTCTATGAGGATCGAGTGGTCGGCCCCTGCTGTTGCTGCCCTGCGGTACACCCTGAAAGGAATTCAGGATGAAGCTCGCTGCGCTGCGGGTGCAGGGGCTCCTAGAGCTCGAAGATGCGCATCTGAGGGAGGGTGCCAGTGCCCCCTCACCCCACCCCACCCCCCAGCCGATCCTTGCATCTTCCCAGGCGTAGAAAAGCTCTGAAGTCCACTTAAGAATGTCCCTGTGATTAACCGTCATCTGTTTATTCTTGACCACATGTATTTTGCAGCTGAAAAATTCGTATATTTACCAGCTCCTCCCCCTATGTCTTATAAACAATTTTTCAGAGCTAACAGCCCTGGACACAGTCATCAGTAAGGTCCCCAAATAAAACTAAAACTCACTGTTCTTATGTTGCATATATTTTTTTCAGCCGACATCTCTTTTGCAAATGTTTCTGCCCTCTGAGAAGGTAGAGAGCAGATGAGAGACAGGTTCCCAGAGGGATGCAGACCGAGCCTGGAGATATTTGTCATCGGGAGCTCCTGCCTGCCCCGCACAGGTCCATCTGGGACTCTCAGTTACCACTGGCCTGGGCCGCAGGCGGGTCATTAGAATGAGCTGATGGAGCTAAGGACATCCTTCACCTGGGTGACGGGCTCTGCAGGGGTGTAAGGCATGACCTTGAGGGTGCAAATGAGGCCCAAGCGTGCCATAGGCAAGGGCCAGCCTTGCCTGGAAGCAAAAAACAAACAAACCTGCTGGAAACAAACAGAACAAAATAAAACCCAGGGAAACTGCGAGAGAGAAGAGGGTAGTGACACCTGAACTGCTTTCACTACAATGAATGGACGGACAGGAAGCTATTCTGGGTGCCTAGAGCACAGATGCCCCTGAGTGTCAGGACCTGAGCCGCACCTGCTGGGAGTGTCGTGATCTGCTTGTGAATCAGCCACCTCCTGATTTCTGTAATTTCCGGGACTTCCTGCTCCCACGCAATCCCTGCGAAGGTGGAACAAAAAGGCAAAGGTGTTTGTTCTTTCCATTAAAATGTGCTTAAGTGGGAAAAAAACACCTTATTTTCTTCCAAGAGAGGTCTCATTAGCTCTTTTTGAAAATGTTTTCTTTATGTTGCTATAAAAGCAATTGCTACAAAGCTCATTATTTTAAAAATGAGGAAAATTTCCAAGAAATATATAGAGGAAAAGGTTACAGAAGAATAAATAATCAACCATTAGCATGAAGCATATCATTATTAATGTTTTCCTGCAATAGTTACTCCCAGTCAAGAGAGATGTTTAGGAAAACAGATTTGTGGCTGGTCTTGTAGGGTAAGGGAGTTAGAGAAGGCGAGGTCTGGGAAAAGAACTCGACCGGCGCTTTGCAGGAACAGATCACCTTTACTGAGGCGAGAAGGGGCAGCAGTTGGATTGTGGCAGTAGCCCCAGAAAAGACTACGTATACACAGGCATACATGTGGGAATCTGCTGTCTTAAGGGGCCTGTTCTTCTCCAACGTTGTTCCGAGTAGTTACCATACCTCTTTTAAGTTAAACTACCCATTTACAGCTGGGACAAGGAATTCTGGAGACCGGCCAGAGGCTGGGACCGGCTGGGAACTGGGCATAATCAACCTTAACATCCATTTTTTTTTCCTTTTGGTGAGAGAGTTCTTTGTTTTGCATAGAATGGTGGGGTGGACCTGGAGGGGAGTTTTAACTCCAGGCTATTTTGAGCCTTATAACCTTCCTTCATATCTTAGTCTGTGGGGGCTCAGAGGTAGAGAACCCGCCTGCCAGTGCAGGAGACACTGGAGATGGGAGTTCCGTTCCTGGGTCAGGAAGATCCCCTGGAGGAGGAAATCACAACCCATCCCAGTATTCTCGCCTGGAGAACCCCGTGAACAGAGGAGCCTGGTGGGCTACAGTCCGTGGGGTCACAGTCGGACCCTTCTGAGCACTCATGAGTGTAAGCACTTACTCTGTGGCTGGATCAGGAAAGGCCATGCAAGTCTTGCCCCAGGGCTCAGGCTCTGGGAGTGCACTCAGTGGGGAAGGTGTGAAGCCAGGCAGAGGGGGCATTAGAGGCTGCTTGGGAGGGTCCCAGTGGCTGCAGGTGGAGCGTTGGTGATGCTGAAGGACGGGACTCTGCAGGGACCCGGGGAGAGGTGACAGGGGTTGGGTGGTGGGGGAGAGGCCCGGCCGCTGTAGGCGGGCAGAGAGAGTGGCTGCAGATGCCCCTGCGAGGGCACAGTTCTGGGATTCAGCAATGTGGTGAAAGATCAGCGTGTTCAGAACAGGGAGACACATCCCCGGTTTATGGATTATAAAGGGTGCTGGGAGACAGGCGTCCTCGATGGGCATTTTCCAAGCCAGCTCCTCCTATGTCCCCAAGTAAGTCATAAAAGCAGGGCAGGTGAGTCCAAAGGGACGGCTGGACTCTGGGGACACTCAATCTACACCTCTTCTTTCCTGCGCAGAGCTAGGAGAAGGGGCATAAAGGAGCAAAGCAGCGGGAGACCCCGGGACCTGCGCTCCTTCCTGGGGAAACAGGGAGGGGAGCCGATGAGCACACACTGCCAAAGGCTTCCCAGCTGGGCCCACCTGCTCGTGCGGGCAAAGCCCCTGTTAGCGCAGGGCCTGTGGAAGTCCAAGGGTCCACACAGTCCTGCTCCAGGAGAAGGTTGGAGAAGGACCAAGGGGAGCAGACTCCACACTTAGCCGGGTCCCACTCACCACGGGCAAGAATGGGGCGGCAGTAAGTCAGGCCAGTGTGGGGCCTAGTGGAAACCCACCTGGCGGGAAGGAGCGCTTCCCCATGAGAAGGAGGTGGATGCATGCTGCTGTGAATTTGGTATCTTTATGGCAAAGGTGAACAATGCTGCAAGACCTTGGACTGAAGGTCTCAGTTCAAGGTCCAAAGAACTGTCCAAAGACCTTGAACTGTATCCAAAGAACAGTCAGGTGAGGGGAAGAAGTAACCTCAGTGGAGATGCTGGGGGACACCACCTGACCGAGTGACCGGGGTCGACATGATGGTTATGTCCTGCAGGCATCCTGCATCCCTGGCATGAAGGGATGAGGCGGGCATCTCTGTGCTGTCCTTCCCCAGATCCATCAGCCCATTTCCAGGGAGGAAATGTCAGACCAGCCCAGACTGAACATTGCACAGGAGACCTGACCACTGCCTTCAGGACCGTCAGGTGGGGAACCCCCGAGACACTGAGGAAGCGTGGCCGGCCGGTGTGAGGGGGAAGCCTGGACGTGGTCCTGAAGCAGAGAGGAGACGGGGCTGGGGATCTGATGGCACCCCGGTTAGCCTGGGTTTCAATAATAATAAACTGCGTCTAGGAAGCCCTATTCCCAGGTTGTTCAATGGTAAAGAACCCATCTGCCAATGCAGGAGATGCAGGTTTGATCCCTGGGCTGGGAAGATTTCCCTGGAGGAGGAAATAGCAACCTCCTCCAGTATTTTTGACCAGAAAATGCCATGGACAGAGGAGCTTGTCTGGCTCCAGTCCATGGGGTCACAAAAGCAACTAAACAACAACAATTGTACCAATGCTGACTTTACTGTCTTTAATTTTTTATTTCTTAAGAATTTTCACTAATGTGCCATGGCGATGTCAGGGGCTGGCCATGGGGACTGCTGGGTAAAGGGTACTCAAACTTAGCACCAGTTTCCAGCGAGTCTAAAATTATTAAAAAATAAAACATTTAATACTAAAAACAGTACAGTGCTTAAAGCACTCAACATAGCCTGGCACAGAGTAAGAAGGCAATAAATATTAGCTGTTCTCAAAACAAAAATATAAAACATATTAAAGAACAAATACTAAACATTTTAAATTTAATTTTCTAAAAATATTAAATATTAGAAGTCCCACGTTGGATTGGTTATTAGTCCACTCTAGTTTCAAGTCAGGCCCCCCTGCAACGTGTTCCTAAGGCCAGGCCAAGGTGTATGTGCTTTATTCTGAAGAATTGGAAGGGATTCTCTGAAATGTTTTGAATACAGGTGTGGCTAATTTAATTTTGGAAAGATAATTCTGGTGGTGGTTTATAGAATGGGGGGCGGTCTATTTAAGGCCACTGAGGTCATTATAATGACACGCTGTAAGTATGTGATCTCAGATGGGGGCAGTAAAGTCAGGATAGAAAAGAGGAAATTGATGGAAAACTTGCAGGAGGAGCTCCCAGGACTTGGTAACCAACTCAATGAGGGAGAAGACAAAAGGCATGCTTGCCACCCCCAAGGGTGTATTTATACATCCCCTGGTGTCTTGTGATTAGGCCTACCTTTGGGTAGGACCACCACCTGGCTCCCACTACCATCTGATACCCTTGGGTCCCCAGCAAGGCTGGCAGGGGTGAGGGCCCAGGACCTGCAGGCTGCCTCTCAGTGGGTGTCAGGGGAGCAGAGGGAAACCTCAGAAGTGATGGAGAGGTTATCACCTGTTCAGGAGGCAAAATCCAGACATCAGACTCAGACCAGAAAACTGGCACTGCCTCAAATCTAACCAGGATGTCAGGCCCGTCTGACTGGTGAAAATATCTGCTCTCCTGGTAGGTGGCACTCTATGAACCATCTCCGCTCCAGAGTTTCCAAATGGGGTCAGGAAGGAATGCCATTTAATTCAGACTTCCAGAGCCCTAGGGCCAGAGTGCTGGTCTGGAAATGAAACAAAACGTTGAATAAGAGAAAGTTGCTTCTCTAGCATCACTCCCGAGGTAAACCTCCCTTGCAGACAATCAGATGGAAGCAGGGTCTGAACTGAAAAGAGATAAAGGCTACTGAGGCATTTTCCCCACCGGGCAAAACTGAGTCAGAAAGCTGGGTGAAGGGGAAGCATTTAAGCCTAGCATCAGAACCAGCTTCGAGGAGCTACAGCCAGCAGAGGGACCAAGGTGGGGCGCCTGTCACAGGTTTCCAAGCTGATGATAAAGATGGCATTAAATGTCGGCAGTCATCACAGCCACACTGGGCAGAGAGTCCTGCGAAAGATTGTAATGGAGAAGGGGTCAGGGTCAGGGTCAAAGCTGGAGGTCCGGGCACTGGCTGTCAACCAGCGTGCTCCGGTTCAGAGCCAAACCATTGAGTTTGCATTCGCCTGGGTGGGGGGCTGGGCGGCGGAGGGGGGATGTAAAAAACAACAAAAGGCTTTCTCAGAAGTCAGTGGTAGCAGGGCACGCATACCTAAGGGCAGCCCTGGGCCCCCTTTTCTCCATTTAAATGTGTCTTCAGCGTTTGAGTCCACAGTATAAACAAGGAGTCAGGCAGTTTACTATGTTTAAATTACCCACTAGGTCTTTTCTGTCTGTTTTTTCAGACAGAAGCCTTTTTCAGTAGCTGTTTGGGGTTTCCTCTCAAATCATCTCATGTTGTCATGGCACAGCTCAGACAATGGGAAGCTTCTATAGAGCTGCAAGGATTTCTGTGCATCTTTTCAGTGTAGATTTGGAAAAGCCTGATTCAGGGTTATTACAGTCACTTAAGGAGCCAGTCTAATTCACCTTGAAGAAAAGATTTGGATAGAGTTGTTAAATGAGCTCAGTCAGAGCAGAATGATCCAAACAGGAAGGAAAAAAAAAAATCACAGCCCCGTTCTGAGTGCTTAGTATAAAGGCTAAACACACAGTTTGAAGGGAAAGGGCAAGATGGGCTTATTTCTTTCTGCCTGAGTGCACACAGCATCTTGTGTCTGTGTTCACGTGGGACTGCAGAGAATGGGACACCCAAATCCACCTTCCTGGGCCAACACTGGTGAAGGGATCCTTTCTGGGAGGAAATCTATACACACCAGGAGCCCAACATCTGTATCCAGAGGCTGTCCCCTACAGGCAGCCTGAGCCTAGCTGGCAGAAAAGACAAGTTTCGCGTGTCGCTCCCTGCAAAGCAGGGAGGAGAGCTATCTCACTATTAAGGCACGGCCTTGATACACGGTGCTGCTTCCCTGCAAGGACCAGTGGCAGAGACCTCCTGTCTGCTGTGTGAACTTTCCTG